ATGAGACTCTTTGAATTGTTTTTTTTTAGATGCAAGTTCTCATGAGCAGGAAAATTGTGTTGCCAAAGGCACTCATGTTTTGAAACTGAAAAACCCAACATATTTTTGAAGTGGTGACGTCACGCCATGAAAGCTACAGGTTGTGCCGCTTAAAACTTGCTGATAAAATCCGTCGTAACCTTATCCGTGATGTTTTGCACCCGGAAATATCTGAATTGGCATGAACAACCGTCGAAGCAGAAACCCATTGGAAAGGAGCCTTATTCTCTTCGTCAAAAACGGGTCAAAAACACGGAAAACGAGATTAACCATCTTCACAACCTGGCAGAGGTGCAGCGCAGAAACAAGCAACCCAAATCACAGAACAAAGCTCACGCCTTGTTCCTAGAAACGACACTATGGCGTCGAATGATGAGTTTGTTAGTCGTACTGAATTCCTTGAATCTATTAACAAAATTATAGAGAAACTCGATAGTGTTAATCTGAATGTAACATCAATGAGGAGTAGGAAAACAGAAATCTGTAAGACGCTAGCCGATGTGGAAACTGCGGCCATGGACACAGCAGCAAGGCTGACAACCATAGAATATGTTACTTGACCTAAAATGGAGGAGAAGAGGAAATTATCTGAAAGTGAGTTGAGAGAGATTTGATTCGATTCGGTTTATTGCAATAAAAGAACATGCAGCTGGGAAGCTGACAAAAGTTCAATTTACAAAGTCAATATTCAACACAATAAACGATCAAAATATGAGTGACTAAAACGTACAACTATAAATCATGCATAATGAAACAAAATGAAAATGAAATATTTTAGCAAAATCTAAATATATCAAGAATATTACATCAAAATCTACATATATTAAGAATATTACATCAAAATCTAAATCTATTAAGAATATAACATCAAAATCTAAATATATTACAAATATTAAAAACATTGAAAACCTTCTGTGTCATCAAAAAAGGAGAGAGAGAGAGAGACGGAACTACAAGAAAGAAGAAAGAAGAAAAAAGAAAAGAAAAGTTGATCAGAGAATATACGAAAGATTGGAGGAGAAGGGTAGAGAAGAACAGAGTAGAACAAGAAAAAAAATGAGACGAGAATCGTACAGTCTTGAGTTATGTTTTTATTAAAACCGAAAAAAGGAAAAAGCGAGCTTCTGCCAAGTGCACCTCAAGTTGAAATATGATTTAAAAATATTAACGTCATTTTAAAAATTAGTTTAATTCAAAAGAGTAAAGTTATGCCAATCCCACAACACATCCAGGTTCAATGCAAATAATTTTGTAACTCAAAAGGATTATGTAGATTTTAAAAAATGGGATGGGACGCTAAACATGCATATTTTTTTTGATGGCCTAAGTAATAATTATCCAGAATTCTGAAATGTCTCTTATATTCTGTGATAGGACTGTTGACTCAGTAAACAATTGCAGTGTATCAGCTGTAAGTTGGAGTGGTACAACCAGTGACGGATACAGGATTTTCCAATAGGGGGTGGGGGGTTGAAATTTGAAAATTGCGCCGACCGTTTTTTTTCCGGGGGGGGGGGCAGTGGCAGATCCAGGAGGGGTGTAAAAACACGTGATTTTTACCTTATTTGGGCGATGCCCCACCCCCCCCCCCCCTGGCGCTTAAATGAGGGGGGGGGGGTGCAAATTTCTAAATTTTCGAAGGCCAAACAAAAATAAGCTTTCTACCAGGGGTGGGGTCCCATCTTCTTAAAACTTTTTTTGCAAGGGATGGGGGCCGGTCTTTTTTGTAAACTGTTTTTGTTGCAAGGGGAAGGGGGGCCGTTTCCGTCGCACCCCCCCCCCTCCCCGTGGATCCGCGCCTGGGTACAACCGCTCTCGCCCCTTCTTACAACCATATTAATATACGGTACCTTAAGAAAACAAAAATGCGTCGCCATTAAGATGACCCTCCTATACGTATAGACCAAATAGGAATGTACGCCTTCCCCGATACAGCCTGAATGGTATTCACAATTTACATATCTCTGTTATTCTCCTCCATAAACATGTTTTCATCCTGTCTTTTTCCCCACTCGTTAGAGTCTATCATTCGCATTCTATCATCGCTTTCAGTGTCCCTTTTCATGATATCTTAATTGTTACATTTTTTAGTTAGTAATTCCCATACTCATCAAATAATTCTCATCCTCAAATAGCAGTGTCACAATAAATGGTTATCAACCAAATTATTTTCTATTACCCGACAGTTTTTCGTGCACCAACAATGCGCCTCAAATTGTCCTCATTATCCCACCTATCACACCATCTTATTCCAACATCTATTTTTCTCCTGCGCCCCCTCTCTCTCGTGCTCTCTTTTTCTCCACTCTATTTCTCTCTCACTCCCTTTTTCTTTCGTTCTCTCGCTCTCTCTCTCTCTCTCCCTCGATCTCACACACACAAGTTGTTTGCGACATTTGTTTCTCTCTCTTTCCCCTCCCTCCCTCCTCTCCCTCCTAACTTATTTATCTCCCCTTCTCTCTCTCTCTCTCTCCATTCTCTTCCAACCATAGACACATCTTCCATCACAAATCCTAATCTTTTCTCTCTCCGTCCGAGGAAAACTCTTGTCCAACATTGAGTTGAAAGCAACAACAAAATAAAAGGAATAGGTTAAGAGGTTTGTTGGAATCTGACGACTAATGAGAACAATTTATTTTATAGCTCGTGATCTGATGGAGATGGATAGTTGTCTCGAGAGAGAGAGAGAGAGAAGGAAGAGAGAGAGAGAATTAGAGATGCTTGTTTATTTTAAAGATTTTAATCGAAGCAACAAATTTCCTGGCAATCATACGAATTAGTCGTATGCACTTTCTTCCTCTTTCATATATATCATAAATAAATATGACGACACTCAAATTTGATCAGTAAGGTGTTAGGAAAGGGGATCAATATTAATGATAAACATCACTTTACTCATTTGAATACAATAAGTCTATATGAGTTCATGTAACCATGCAGTTGCGAAGCATGGATCCTTAAAGGCACACTGCCATACTTGTAGCTACTTGCTCCCTCTATATAGAAAACTTCCCCAATCGGTGCCTGTTGGTTCCCCATGATCCTCTTTTTCTTATGTTAAATGAGAGCTGAGTTAATGAGATAGCCACCTGTCACAGTGACCTCGCTGGCTCGCTGTGTGGTCTAATCCCTTCTTGCCCAGTAGTGGTGACGGCCTTTAAGTTACGGGGGCACTTGCATGAGGGGGGGGGTGCTCAGTGGATGAAATGTGAATTAACAAGGCTCCTGATTAGAGAGAGAATCGAAGAGGGTCGTCGGGATTACCTTCATACCATGCATGTTTCCATTCCCAATCTCGCCTGTGCAATCCTGGAAGAATGTTCTTTGGGAGGGGGGGGTCGGGTCGGGTGGGGTTGAATTTATTTTCTACAAATTGACTATAATTACTATATCCTTGATAAATATTGTTCATCAACAGAATATCGTAGTGACGCTACACGAGTGTACTATACAAGAATCCGAATCTAAATTTTAACTCACACACATTAACATATATACAAATTTTTAATGGTCTTTATATTGATATATTATCAAATTGAATTGTTCCCCTTTTTCTTCTTGAAAAAAAAAAGGCTGTACAAAATATTACGAGTAATTTAATTTATTTTTCATCTCTGTATTATATTCCAGAAGTGACATGCAGTAGTACACATATTGCTCCGGTTCTCTCATTTTTGCCAGCACAAACGTAGGCTAGTTCGCGTATATAGCAGACGGCAATCGTCGGATCAGACGACACTTGATAGTGATTTTGTATGTGAGATTGCTTTGCTAAATATAAAATACAAGAATCTTTTCCATATCTTTAAACTATCATTGATATCTGATAATTAAACAGTTAGTAAAATAAACCTACTAAACTACATAATACAATGAAATACTTGACTGAAAGTAGGGGAGTATGATGTGGTGCACAAATTCACCCCTCTGTTAATAATCGAATAGTCTATGGTGTTCATGAAAATTCATGTTTTTGCTTACCTCGGCAGAATGCGTGCTTACACTAAATGGAACAATTACGGTGGGGGTTGGATGAAATGGACATAATGAACAAATCAGAACTGATCTATGATAATTCATGCTTATTATCCTTCGTGTGCTTGACTTATAACCTTACGATCGCGTGATAAATTGAGTCCAAAACTCGACTTGTTGTACATGTGTTATATAGGCAATGGCGAGCTTGCTACCTATTTTGATCAAATTACGGTTGGTGAAATTTCAAAAGTCAATGGGACATGATTTTTCCAATGAAAGATCTAGTGATAACGTACGTCGGGATGGATGTGATTTTTTGTTTAAACAAAAAAATGAATTTTTAACGATTTTTTGTACCTACTTGTAGAAAAGGCGCTATACAAATGTTCATTATTATTATTATAAAAGTCCATAGGCTAACGTACATGTTAGGCTGCTGGAATCTGCCGATAGGGGGCGTTATCAAATGAGACTAAACGGAGCTATAATTATGTTCATTTTAGCCATTCCCGGTTTTTGTAATTTTGACCTTTGCACTCAATAATGATCTATCTTACACTATAATTTTGAATATTGGTATCCATTGTTATTAAAATCAAATTGAGAATGATCTTATTTTTTGGGATCATAATAATTTTTTTTTTTTTTTTTCAATTTGAATTTGAATTCGAATCGTGCCTCGCTTAAATTCATAATCAAGAATATTTTTTTTGTTTTTAGGGGGGGGGTTGTTATGGGGGTTTAATATTTTTCACGGGGGATGGGTTAAGCCCCTTAGCCCCCTCTAGAACCACTAATACAACCCGCTTTACTCTCTTTTTTTTCCTATGGTTCTTTTCTTTCATCTATTCGTAGGGGCAGGGGGCAAGTCAGAGTTCCGTAAATAATTGTATGGGTATACAGGCAATACTTTGATCAACATAATCATCCTTACGTTAATACATGTACCACCAATATAACCATTTATATTTTCCAGACTTAGCACATGTTCAAAATAATGGCCTCGAATATCCAAAAATATTTTAAACACGGAGAAGATCCACTTTAGTTGTGCATTTTAGAATAATCACTGCCAAAGTGACAAAGGTGCTTCTGAATACATTTTTGTTTGCCCTCTTAAAAAGAATACGTGCTGTCGGTACATCGATGATAACATAACTTTCATGACCACGAATCCAGAAGCTTTATTTGCAGGTGCGCGGATTCTATCTACGAACTAGTTCATTAAATTATAAGAAAAAAAAGATCGGTAAAATGTGAAAACAATACATCGATAAAACACTCTCACTCATGTACTGTAAATAAGACTTCAGTGCTTATTTGGTTACTTTTTCGATGAGGGTATAGAGGAAAGGATTGATAGAGGAATTAATGGGCAGAACAAAGACCACCAACCAAGCGTAGATATTGGATGAGAGAGTGATGACACCAGCTTGGATGAAGATCCCCATGATAATGATAGGCATCCAGCAAAAGAAGTCGGTCCCAACGATGAAAAACAGCTTGCGCGCCATCTTGATCTCAGTGGCCGACTTCTTTCCTGCCGCCTTCCTGCTCAAGCGAACGCTGAAGAAAATGGCGACGTAGCAGCAGATGATGACCAGGAAACTGACGAGGTTCACTCCCAGGTAGATGGCAATGGAGAACTGCCAGGTGGGGGACGTTCCAGAGGCAAGAAAGTTGAAGGTGGTGACACCGTAGCGAGTCAAAGTGTAGCTGTCCACCTCCGAGTATACCGAGGAGAACTTGCGGATGAGCGGAAGTCCCACGCAGACATCACTCAGGCCGTGTGCGTCAGATTCCAGCTGGTTTAAGAGGAGAGAGCCAACACTGAGAATCAATGCAAGAAGCCACGCAATCGCCGCAAATACACGGGAGGACTTGACACCCAGACGATTCTGACTAAACGGGAACTGGATGACGATGAAGCGATCAACGCTGATCAAGGTCAACAAGAAAACCGATGCCTCGGTGCTGAGAAACGAGACAAACCCAGCGATTTGACAAGCATTGGATGTTCGCCACTCGTTCCCGATGCCATCCCAGAAGTACGCTTCACCAATGTACAGATCCATGACAGCAATGATCAACATGTATATACCCATCAAGAAATCCGACACTGCCAGATTGTTGATCAAGGTGGATTGAACAGCACCAGTGGGTGTTTTCGGTTTATCCCGCAATCTTGTGAAGATGACATACCCATTACCAAGCAAACCACTGATGCTAAGGATCCAGATGAACACTTTGATGGTCATATTTTGGAGGAATGTCCTTCGACACGTGAAGAGCGGATGTGGCAGTTCTCGTGTTATACACCCGAAGCTTTCTGGAACGATGCAACACACTCGTTCGTCTCGAACAACTCTGTAAAAGACAGACGAGATGACTATTACACACTGAAGCATTAATTTTCACTGAAATAGTTGCAAAATATGACCACTAGTCTCACTCCACAATTTACGAAATGTGCTGTAACATCAGACTGTAATAAGTGAATTGTAAAGTGACGCATCGACAATTTTAGTCACTGTTAATTAAAAATTAGTATGGTCTTATATTTGGCTTTCTGATCATTATTGCGTTTTACTCTGATGTGTGCAAGACGACAAAGGGCTTATACCTTCATTTTACTACAAGTTATTTAAAATCATCTTTAATATTATTCTTCCATAATTATGTAAATGCCCGCTAATTTGTAAACAACATGATAAAAGAATGCAACTTTGCTTTGATCATGCTATCATAAGGATGGACACTGTCTTGTACACCCGTCGGACACGAGGCGTCATTTCTCTTGTGATATAACCTTCAACAATTAGAGCAGTGAAGGCAGTAATTGCAATGAATACACCATTCATCCTGTCCTAACTGTTTGCTTGTGAAGAGGTGTCGTGGTCTAGTGGATAAGTCGCCGTCCTGTACTTAATAAATGTCCTTTGGCAAGAGATTAATCTACATTTGCCACTGTCCACCCAGTCGTTAAATGGGTACCCGATGGGAAAGTTACTGTGGTTGGATTGTCATGTGTGCGCTTGTAAAATGGTGCCTGACCGAAATAGTCCCCAGGGAGCGGAACGAGTGCTTTATCATGTTGCGGATTAGCAATTGAATACAATGACCGGGGTAATAACAATTATAAATTAAAGTGCTTAGAAACGTTGTTTGATACTTTTTTCATTGTTACTATTATTGCTATTATCATTATTATTATCATTATTACCATTATCATTATTAGCATTATTATAGCAGTATTATTAATATCCTGATCATTGTTTTTATTATCTCATTAAAAAAAAATTGCTATTATTATTAATATTATCATTATTATCATTATTATTATTTTTATAATTATTATTATTAATATTAGCATTATTATTATTATTATTATTATTATTATTATTATTATTATTATTATTATTATCATCATCATTATCGTTAGTATCTGTTAATTACTGGCACATGGATAATTGAATTTTCACCAGTCACTGACGTGGTATTAAAGTACAAGTCCACTCCAAAAATAACTTACTTTCAAAAGAAGCAGACAAATCAGACAAACCAGTCAAAAGAAGTTTGAGCAAAATCGGATAACTAATAAGAAAGTTATGAAATTTTTAAAAAAATATATAAAACTATGGAACAAGTGAAATCACTACACAAATTGCTAATTTAGTTATCAGTTTGTGACGTAATGTCCTCACTATATATCAATTGCTTTATATAGTTTAATCCCATTAATTTCCCTTTTTAATCCCCCAAAACTTTATTAACCCATGTCTTTGCCCAGGTTATATGATTTTTATGATATTGCATACATGACATTTCACAAGATCTTTTATGAACTTTGAAGAATTGATACTATTTTCTGAATATTGCGTATTCATAATTATTGATTTGTTATCAAAATTCACATGTTTCATGATTTAACTGAAAAAAATTACCCTATATTAGTGCATCCACACAAAAACATATTACTATCAATCTAACTTGGATGCCGGTGGGAGGAAATACGATTCTTGGGGATACCCCTCTTCCCTCTCCCACACTGAGCGACATATCGGTCGGCTCGATTTTCAATTTTCAAACAACCTCCGGGAAAAAATCCTGCGTACGACACTGCGAGGGCATCATACTTCATTGAAGTCACGCGGATCGGAACAGGATAACACTGAAAGAATCGAGCAAGAACATGTCGGTGCCAACTTCAAAACATGTAAAATGAACTCGGGATTCTGATAGCTGTATGTCTGTACTTACAATAACTCAATCTTAGAAGGGCCAACAAATGTATCTGGCTGAAGGCGAATTCTGTCAGAAGAAAGAAGTCGCCTGAAAATAAAGCAAGAAAAGTATGATAAAGAGTTATATTCGAGGGCTTATATTGTAGGGAAGCCTTCGTCACAAGTTTGCAGTTTGTTTAAACGATGATTTAATTAACATTCAGATACTATTTCGCTTCTTCAAAAGAATTCCCGTCCTTTCAAATAAAACAACAACCTGCATTTCAACGCTGTCATCACGTTACACATACAATTAATGCTAGCAGCTGACATACATTAGATTTGTTTCTATAGCGTTGTTGATATTTTCATGGGTTTTAAATAAAGGAGATGGATACCCCCAGTGCACACTTGGCCATCGAGACTATAGACAACAAAAATGCTTTCCTATTTAAAAATATAACCTGTGACAGTGTATATAAGCTTACGATATTTTTTCCGAATTTCTCATTAATTTTCCAGCATGTGCTCTAACGCAACCTATCGACAACCATTTCGGCGGATATGCTGACATCAATACATGTCACATCATCCTCTCTGGCTAGCAATTCAGTGGCGATTTAATTATTATTTTTATTTTTATCAGATGGTGTCCCCCTTTTGCAAAAACCCTGGATCCGTCATTTAGAAACTCCCTTGTATTCATTTAGATGACCCCAAATACTCACACATCCCTCAACGTAGGCACACCATTCAGAGCACCAGCTTCAATGGTAGTGATGGGATTTCCTTGGAACGACCTGGGGAGAAAAAAAGTACACGTGGTAAAAATCCTTTTTTTTTGTTGGTGATCCGACATTTGCCTCAGTGACAATTGCTCCATAATATAGTCCTTCAAAAGTTTAGAGGTAAACAGGTTGCAATTTTTTTTTTTTTTTTTGGGGGGGGGGGGAGATGTGAGGTCAAGGGTTGCGTTTAGGAGTTAGGGTCCAGTTTGTTCGTTCGTACGAAGAATATCAAGGAGTACATCATCCAGATATAGGAAGATTCTTATTTAGCCAACTGAATGTCCCATCATCGAGCTCTCGAAGTCCAGAAGCACCGTGAAGGGATTTGTAGATATACGACAAGCATCGATTACGTGATTCACAGTTTGGATCTTTCCACAGGCACAGTTTGGCGATGGATCAGCTCCAATTGTATGCATTAAATCCAGTTCAGCGACTGAAGTTACAAACTTGTTAATTGTAGAAAATTTAATGCAAAGAAATAATATTTTTCAATAGAATTAATTATGTTGTAGAATCTATTAATAACCACAATGATTTACAAATGAAATCATGGCGGATTGTTCAACAGTGAAGGATTAAGACAAAGTGACCGCCAGACTGCTAGAGTGTATTCGCAGACCGTTTTAGTGGGAGAGAGCGAGAGTGAGGGAGAGAGATAGAAGGAGAGAGAGAGAGAGGCGGAGCAAAGCTCCTAAATATCTGGACTGCCACTCTTTACTTACGCTATGTCAAGCTTATTGAGCCCGTAGAAAATAGATGCATTAATAGACGTCAATCGATTATGGGTGATAATCCTATATGAAATGAGATAAAAGATACAAATGAAATCAATTATTTACTGATTTAACCCTAATAAGGCTGGGGGAGGCATTATCCCCCCCCCCCCCTCCACGATTTGTTCCGATTGCTCGGGAGCGCTTATGGATGGCGCCCCGCCGCTCGCTGACCTTTTTTTTTTCGAGTCTTGCGCTTGTTTGAAACAAAAAAAAATTGAAAATCGGACCTCCAGTTACAAGGTCATGTGACCTTTTGTTTTTGCATGTCAGCCCGAAAATCGCTCATTTCTGTGATTTGTGAACAAAACATATGGAAATGTCATTTTTCCTTAAAATAGATTTAACATTTGTTATTGGGTCTTGTTTAAAGTTTAAGTGGTTGTTTTGGGAGTCAAAATAGTTGAATTGTAGTAAGAAATGAAATAAAACAACAAAAACAATAAAATACATAAGTTAAAAAAACAATGACGAACATAAGAAATTATCAAAACAAGAGATAGCATAAGGAATAATCTGGCAATTTTTTTTGGTCATATTTTTATTCCAATTGGTCTAATGAATATATGTAGTGAAAAGAATGCTGAATATGAATAATATATGATTTATGGGTAAAAATGTAATTTTATGACCTTATTTGCATAAATACCATAAATATGCAAATAAGTCAATTTTTCAAAAAAAATTGAAATGTTCATATCATTTTATACACTTCACTTGACATGCGTGCAAATTTTCGCGGAGATCGGCAACTTCACAGCCGAGATCTTAAGGGGGGCCATAATGCCCCCCCCCCCCCCCTCCCCTCCGGCCGTACTAAGACCTCAAATAGCCCGGCCTTTTTAGGGTAAAGACAAATATCGAAGAAATTTAAAGATTGATTGTCATACTTGCTGGTTGATCAACCAAAAAAGAGAGGGACAAAATCATTGATTTAACAAATTAACTACTGTAGAAACAGGCCTTCTGCATTATTAAACGGTATTAGTATCAAGAGGCTCCAACTTTACCTATAGCACTGTTGAACAGAGATTTCAGAGACAAAGGCAGAGGTTTCTTTTTTTCGAAAATCAATTTAACTTACATTAAGTGGTTGCATTATTCAGTTACATTCCAAGAGCGTCAAGTACTGCGCCTTGACAAATTATGTGCAAACCAACACGACTATATTTAGAATTAGAATCACTGCATGCATGTGGTACAGTGGTACAGTATCTTGACTTCCGCGCAAGACAAGATGGGTTCGACTATATTCTTAAACAAGGTGTTTTCTCCATATTTATCCCACTCGACCCTTGCCGGTGAAGTTGGAAATTAATGCTGAGGTAATGATAATTGAAAGGCCCTCAGGGATAGCAGGAGTAATACCTGTGAGGCCATCCTGGATAGACAAGACCTTACTATAAATAAATAAATACTATAAATAGTTGGTAAATCAATTCTTTCCTATTATCATTCGTGATTCGAAGTATACAGTTTCTCAGAACTTTATCCATCAAGAATTAAACCATGTTGTCACAATCATTTCATTAAAAAAAGGTAAGAGCAATTGCAATAAGAAATACAATGAAAATGCTGTTATTGCCTTTTTCTCAACTTTTAATTCTTCCGTTTGAGTTGGCTTATTTCCAACTTGACATATTATCAACATAGATAAGAAATCATATAGAAACATCTCTATAATTCCGTTCGAGTTTTAGCGGTAGCATATTTCCAACTTGACATACTATTAACATAGATATAAAATCATACAAAAACCATTTACATATTTCCGTTCGAGTTTTTGCGGTAGCATATTTCCAACTTGACATATTATTACATAACATAGATATGAAATCATATAAAACCATTTCCATAATTATGGCGGAAGGCGACAGGCTGCGATTCCACAAATATGGGAACCCGAGGGTCACGGGTCACGTGACCAGCTGGGAAGACGGTGCTCTACCCAGCAGGCCCAGTTTCCTGGGCCATTGGTTCCCTACACAAGATCTGGTAATCGCAGCCTGTCCCCACCGTCGGTTCATGGCGCTCTTGGCCATTCCTCTCCTTGAGGCATACTGGAAATGATTATAGTTCAGGAACGAAACAAAAGAACAAAACCCTCTCATTTCGGAATACTAAGACTTCCGGAACAGAAGCTCCAGCCAATAAGCCAAAACCGGCCGACCCTGTCAATAATGTAGTCCAACCAACCATCACAATAATCAAGCCCAACAAACCATCCATGTCAATAAACGAGCCCAACCAACCATCCATGTCAATAAGCAAGCCCAACCAACCATCCATGTCAATAAGCAAGCCCAACCAACCATCCATGTCAATAACAAGCCCAACCAACCAACCATGTCAACAATCAAGCCCAACCAACCATCCATGTCAATAAGCAAGCCCAACCAACCATGTCAATAAGCAAGCCCAACCAACCATCCATGTCAATAAGCAAGCCCAACCAACCATCCATGTCAATAACAAGCCCAACCAACCATCCATGTCAATAATCAAGCCCAACCAACCAACCATGTCAATACAACAAGCCCAATTTCTTTCTTTCTTTCTTTTTTTTTTTTTTTTTTTTTTTTTCCACAATCTGCATTGATTTCCATGAATGTTGTAGCCTTAAAAGAACAAAATCACACAGTGATTAACAGATTGTGTACCATTAAAAGAACAATAATGAAACATAAATCAATTTGACAATCCCCCCCCCCCCCATAAAAAGAAAAACAAAACAACAAAAAGCAATCTAGCAAATCTGATGTAGAAACCGAAGGAAAAAAACAAACAAAAAAAAACAAAAAAAACAACAAACAACAAACATGATGTCAATATCATAAAACAAGCCCAATTAACCATCAACCTTGTCCACTACTACAGCCCCATCGTGTCACTTATTCAAGCCCAAACTCTAAGGCAATGACATACGCAGAACTACCAGTCCGGGCAAGTACCACTCCGGTCTCCCTATATACATTTTCTCAATAAAGGACCGCCCCCTCCCCCTGACAACCTCCTACCCAATAATCATGAGCCTAATCCTGCCCGTCCACAAGTCAGCAAGGAATTGAGGGGAGGGAGGGAGGGAAAAACACGACCAACTCAAACGGAGTATTAGCTGAGAATGACCCATTGATTAGTAAAAATACACGTCGTGGGAAACACTTGCCTTGCGACCCCGATATGTATTACAAAAGCGCGCCTATCATTGATATTTACAAAACACGCGTGGTAAAGATTCGGCTTTGTGACCTCAATGTAGGTTACAAAGAGATGCGCCTATGTTTGATATTTGCCGACCTGCTGGGAAACATTCGGTTATTGACCTCAATATCATTTTACAAAAGAGGCGCGCTATCGTGTGTAGTCACCGGCTTGCCGCATATTTCCGGCCTACACTATTGCATTCTATTACAATTGGGTTTATTTTGATAACATCAAAATAAACGTATTGCAATAAGAAATACAATGAAAATGCTGTTATTGCCTTTTTCTCAACTTTTAATTCTTCCGTTTGAGTTGGCTTATTTCCAACTTGACATATTATCAACATAGATAAGAAATCATATAGAAACATCTCTATAATTCCGTTCGAGTTTTAGCGGTAGCATATTTCCAACTTGACATACTATTAACATAGATATAAAATCATACAAAAACCATTTACATATTTCCGTTCGAGTTTTTGCGGTAGCATATTTCCAACTTGACATATTATTACATAACATAGATATGAAATCATATAAAACCATTTCCATAATTATGGCGGAAGGCGACAGGCTGCGATTCCACAAATATGGGAACCCGAGGGTCACGGGTCACGTGACCAGCTGGGAAGACGGTGCTCTACCCAGCAGGCCCAGTTTCCTGGGCCATTGGTTCCCTACACAAGATCTGGTAATCGCAGCCTGTCCCCACCGTCGGTTCATGGCGCTCTTGGCCATTCCTCTCCTTGAGGCATACTGGAAATGATTATAGTTCAGGAACGAAACAAAAGAACAAACTCCAAATCCCAACAACCCAATTTTTTTTTTTTTTTTTTTTTTTGCCTAGCGAAATAGAACCGGGCATGTGGCAAAATTTATGCACGGCTAACAAAAATAACAAACGATCAACTTTGCGTTATTTTTGTGGCTTTATTAACATTTTGAGATGGACGCTTATTTTGCACATTTTGATTTTCTGGGTGTCATAACAAAATAACACAGATATATGGAATCATAAAAAATGCTTACAAATGCTAGGCCCCCCGTCTATGAAATCGAGTGATGCCTAGGCTAAACTTATATACATTAAGTCATTATATCAGCCCCCCGCCTATAAAATCGAGTGATGCCTAAAGTTATAGAAAATAGATGTATATATATACCAGCCTCTCCGCCT